TTTGGCNATACGAAAAGTCAAAAACAGCTCACTGTCAGAAGCTCATCAGATTGAATCTTTGGTAAAAAAAGTGATATGACGGATGTATTGAACTTGGATGGGGTTGATTTGGTCGTGTCGAAAAGTGCAAAATAAAAACGAATAATTGAATCGAACCAGCGGAAACGAAGTTGTTCCATTGAATGAATTGATAGATTTTATTCGCAACAACAAGCCATGACCCATCGCAAACTCATTCATGTTATCTTCTCCCAAGGGTGTTTCGTTTTGCGTTAAGTTTTGCGTATTTTGAAAGAAAAACAGAATATTCATTTGAATCTATCGTCTTGTTCATCACATATATTCACCAACAAATGTGCTCTATTGAGAGAGTAGTTGGTTGAACTATTCAAGAAAAAAATTTCATTATTCCATGTGCTGACAACAATGCGAATTCATCGAATCGTGGATCCATTTATCATGCTGTTTTATATTCGAAATGCAGTAACTTCGATCATAAATAGTGAGTGTCAAGAACAATTCATTTTGTTGATTTCTCATGTTCGTTCCTCTCATTTCTTTTTTTTGCTCAGTTTTCATTTTTCTCACTTCTCAGAACTCGTCAACTTTTCGGTTATCGCATTGATGTCAAACGCGAAAAACTCGAAAAGAGTTTTTGATGACTGCTTCTATATAACGCCATAACGCAAACCTTCTTTTCACGATACTCCTATTGGTCGTCTAATTCGACGACGTCTCATCGATGTTTCAGAAGATTCGCTGCGCAAATAAGCAGCAAACATTGTTTACTGGCTGCTGGTGTTGGATAATTTCTTTGTTTTCAGTTGTGGTCCTGTACTACAGAAGCAATAATTTTTTCATTCTTCTTCAATTCTGGCTTTAGCTGATTTGATGTAACAGCGCGTCGTAATACTGGAGAATTGTTGTGAGAATTTAGCATGCCAATAGTTATGGATATGTTCGATCACCTTGATTAGAATCGTTGTTTATTATTGATCAGGAAAGATTGCCGGTTTGCTACTGTCGATTGTTTCAACCGGCCACTTGAGCGATCATTGGACGCGTGTTCAATCGATCAAACGGAGTGTATTTGTGGGATGATTTTGAATCCCTCTCCTTACAGATCATCGGGCAATATGGAAGAGTGGGCGGGTAACCGTACACCTCAATGTTCATCGAATCAGTAATCGGAGTTAGACTTTCATATGACATGCGCTAATCTCGTTAGATGCATGGAAAGAAGGATATCAAAGAAGAAAGAATATGATATTCCTGATATTGGTGATAAGAGAGGGACATAAACTCGTAATGAGTTGAATTACTGATTAAATAAATAAATACAACCAAATTATCAGAAAGCGTATAGCATTATTTGATTATCGCGATATCGTTTACGTAGTTTAGTTTTGCTTAGCGCTTAAAATAGCATTAATACATGCGCATATAATTCTGTTCACAACACTCGATTCAGTTTCATTTTCTGTTTGATTTGTACGCATTAATAAGTAAGTATGTGAATATTAAACGCCGCCCGGATGAATAAGTGCCGTGTATTAATAAGTAAATTTATGCGTTTACGTTCAGTTTATGACGAATTGAGGTGTATTCACAGTAAAAGGGACACACATTTACATTTCTACACTATCCCACTGTATAAAGTGCTGAAATATTTCGGTTGGTTCAAATGATTTGAGTGTTTCGGTTGACTTTTTTCGTTGTTCAGAAACATCATTGAATTTAGCACATCGAAGGCTACTCATTGAACAGCAGCAGNCATCTTGTAGTTAATTGAAAACGGAATGTTCGTAGGATTTGGACTTTTGATGATGCATGATGGAAGAAGGAAGCTGTTAAATGATCTCTGCTTAGGCATTCACTTGAGATTTATTCGTGACGTTATCCTACTTCGAATGTTAACCTTTTTAATGGTAAACGCCAACTCAAGGTGGCAATTCTTCATCAGCTATTCGTACATGGAAGTTGAAAACTGATTAGTTAGTGACTGCGAAGGGAATTTGCTGGAAATAGACCGTTCAGTGAGTTGATCCTTGTGAACGGTGCTGAAATTCAGAGCTATCAAAAAATGAGTCCTTTTTTCAAAAGGTTTTTTCTCTATTCTGATTGTTAAGGTGGTAAGTTTAGGGGTTTTCATTGAGTTTCCGATAGAGACGGTAGCTGGATGGTTTTGACGTGATAAGGAAGAATATGCAAAAGTGATAAAAAGCTTATCGTTAGGAATAAAGTGTCATGGAAACAGTGAGAATAAATTATGCGATGAACTGAAGCAATGTAAAAAATTCTGATTGTGAACATACTGAGAATTTATTCACTCGTAACGAGTTCCCCATAGAACAAGATTTTAGTAGTCAGCTTGATGAAACAATCGAATGCTCACTGAATTGAAGGACTTACTCAATTTGTAGTCATCAATTGAGCTTTAAAATCCTCATTTTGCAGCCTTTCAGCAAGGGATGCAACATCAAATTCATTGACTCGATCGTTTTTTATTCTGGAAGAGTTCTTTGGTGTTTTAAATTCTGGCTTATTTGGGTGCATCATGTATTCGCTAATTTTTGCAATTCAACCTTTAATCTAATGAAGCCCGTGAACAAGTTGAAAATTAATTCCATCTACATTGCAAAATTCAAATATCATCGAAATGTCCTCGAAAAGAAGAGTTTTTTATTGTGGAGTTGAGTTAGTTCTACAGTAATTCTATCAGCTATTATTTGGTGAAATGTTGAATTGGCAGGATGAAGGAAATGAAATTTGTTGGAGAGGCGAATGAAGACGATATGATTGAAGCGGTTCAGAAGGAGAGAAATGAAGATTGTCAGAAGATTTCTTTTTTTTNTTTTTTTTGGTGATTAGTGAGATAGACTGAAAGGGAATGGTATGAATAAGGAAAATAAATGTAAGTATGTGATAATTCGGTGGTACCTAATTGGGCCCGTTCTTACGAATGGTTGACGAGTGAAGTGGTTCAGCGAGCCGGTGAATAGATACATGGATGGATGGTTGGATGCTTCATCTTCATCTTGTTGCCTTCAAATTGAGCGCAAATCAAATTACGTGTAAGGACGGTGGCTGGCTTGCCAGTTGGATGTTGGTGCCATTGCAGTGGCTCTTCGCCTAAATTAGTGACTACTTTAGGTACTCTCAACTTTGTTCAGTATTCCATTCGTCCGTTTACTAACGAACTGATCGCAATCGCCTCGTTTCGCTTCATTTCATTGAATTACCACCCCTACTACCACCACAACTTACCATCTCTTCTTGTGTGATGCTGTTGCTACTGCTGCTGTTGCTGAAGCTCTTTATCTGTATTTTGCGACGTTCATTTCATTTTCCATCCACTCAGTCGTTTCAATTCAATTCGTTTCAGTGTTCTAAAGAGATTGCTTACTCTTCACCGCACTCTATTCATCCTGTTTAGACGTATTTAATGGTTCTTTTATTGGATGAAGATTCAATGGTTTGCTTTTGTTGGCATCATACACAATCTTCGATGCAAGCATATAGGAAAAATTTGGTGTTTGGTTGAGACAACTTGAAATTTCAGGAGATTTTACTGGTATTTACGAGAGCGGTGCGTGCACACTTCATGAGTTATATTTGCCAGTTACTGGGGTCGTTATTTTACGACGTTGAGCCTGAAAGTAACCATACTTGCTGTAGGCTAGCTTCAAAAGCGCAAACGCTTTAGGCCGTCTGATTTGTCCAGAAAATTTTATTTATTTGTTCAATCATATCCGCAAATGTGCCGAAATGAACTAACTGGTTATCTGGGTTGTCATGAGATTCATTTTAATCACACAAATACAACATTTTGGCGGTAAACAAAATACTTTCAACTCACGCTTCATCGAGCAAATTTTCCCTCGGGTTTTATCGCTTGATGATGATAAGTTATAGCGTTCACTGCTCTGTTCATTCCGTTTGCTTTTATCTGTTAGATTGTTTTCCTTCTTCCAAAATATCATATTGAACATTTCATATTGCCGCTTCTCACAATTGCTGAAAAATTTGGATCGGTAATATTTCTACAAGTTCAAAGTGTATCCGTGAATTTCCTATGGCACTTATGATTTCTATTATCTTTAAGGTGTTAATAGTTGTTATTTTATGGAAGAATTCTCCATTTTCATGAAATCTGTGGCTGTCATTCTTTAAAAAATTAGCAATCATGTTAAAACAAGGGGCGAATCTTTGAGAATTTCAACATTTAAAAGATCGAAGAATTGTTCGTGGAGCATGAAAAGCAACTTGACACGTTGTTACGTGAAAATTCTTGCTGTATAGTGGCGAGAATTGCACCTGGATGTATTGCTTAACTGGTAGTTATTGTTCCGTCAATAACATGACTCTTGTTAGTAAACATAATTAGTTTGATTCATTAGATGATGCTGATTCGTTGTTCGCTTCGTCTTCTCTGTTTTTTAAGTATTCCACTGAAAAAATCATTTCCTTCTAGCGATCCAATCAAAGTTTCCAGCAAAAACATCGCCTATCAATTAGTCGGTGTATATTCATTTCGAAATGTCGATTTCTCTTGAATAGAGTCATCATGAATAATTAATGCTCTTCATTAGCTGCGAAAAGGAGCGCCGCTAATGAAGTCTACATTGGAATGAAACCGAAGTTCTGACTTGCTGGGAAGCTATTGCTGCGATGTAAGAGAGTTATTGCACTAGTGCGAGTTATGTTCTGTCGTCATACTTCTCTTCAGTCTTTGCGTGTTGTTCGGCGGAGCAGAAATTTCTCAAAATTCAATTTATTTTGCAGAAATTTGATCATTATGAAGGCAATTTAATTTGCCAAACCAGAACATTGATTGAGTACTTCAAATGGGTAGTGGTGATTGCTAAATGAGAATAAATTCGATTTTGCTTGCATTCGTTTTGAAATGATATTGTGGATTTGTCGTTTCAAGCTTCCAGTGCGATATTGGATAAAAGCCACAGTTATCGGAATTGCATTCAGCCTGTTGCATTTTCAGGAACGCTTGGAAAGAGTTAGGCGATTTGAGCGCTGCGAGCGCTATGTCGGCGTTTGTGTCGTTACTCGACACAGTTTGTCCTCCGTTCAGGGACTTTATCGGTGAACACGCTGAAACACGAGCGAAACTCGCCGCGAATAAAAGGTTTGTTCTGGATTTCTTTTTTTTTGTTTTTGTGAGGTGAAACTTTTCGTTGCATAAGTTTCACAGTTGTCTTTTCAAAAAGATCGTTTCCTTATCGCAATTTTCAATTAAAAAACTCTAAGGGATGTTTGGAGTTACTCTTTCCAAGGGATGTTTGGAAAACATGTGTGACATTTTCTATTCGATGAATAGTTTACTACCAGTGCCGTTATTGAATGTTCATTAATGACTGTATCACATTCAGTGATATCTCAAGAGACTTGCTAATGAGCCTTCTCTCTTTACCGCACATGTGTATCGTATCGTTTTCGTTTCTCCTTTGTATCATTGAATTTTGCGAATAACGCAAATAAACATCGGCTCATTTGATTAGATACAAGAATTTATCTCCATGCGAACTGAATATAATTCGAGTCAAATCCTCGAGATTAATTTTTTATTCGTCAGCTATTTCAAGACGAAATATCTTGCATCGTAATGTTTGAATATTTAAGTTTAATTCTGCAACATTATATTTTTCTGTAATCCTAAGAAAAAACCAAAAGCGTCATAAAGGTTGACGTTGGATTGCCTACAGTCTTATCAGCTGTCTTGTCATCAGAGTCTCCAGCTCTTCGATTGAAGAGAAGTCGTCATAATCTGCTCATACTGGCTTCGTATAACACTGTTTACACCGAACTCAAAATTCTATTCTAGATATTAGCTGGCTATTGCTTCAGTTTTTTGCTAGCAATGTATGAAAACCNTTGCAGTGAAAGAAGCTGATTCTGAATCATTCAGGTTTACGTCTTGGAATGTAGTGATTTCCATGTGAATAGTTCATTGAAACGGTCGTTTTTACTCGCTTATGAAACAACTTCATTAAATTTGAAAAATATGTATTAAAACGTTGACATTGCTGTAATTAATTTGAGTGAAATTCTTTGAAAATTGCCTCTGGCGGTAGGTTTTCGTTGAACATTGAGTATGAACCCAAGAAGAGATGAAAACTTATGCGTAACTCCAGACCAATTGAATGCGCTCCCATATGAAGTGCATATAGGTGATCTGAAAGCTCCGTTATGCTGTTATCAATTACTCAGTGAAGAAAGTACGACGAATATGTGCTTTCCATAATTGTATTTTGAAGAATGTTATGACAAGATGTTACGATGTATCAAGGTGACTGTTGACAGCAGTAATTAAAAGAAAACAGTATGAAGAAGAGGCCATAACAAATATTTCGAAGTTCTGATGCAATAAAATCACTGATCCACGATTAATAACATGTACTCGTTCTGCACATTTCCGATAGAAGTGGGTAATAATTTTATTCGGATTATAATTAGCGGAAGTCAAAAGTATAGTAAGCAGTAGATAGACATCTCGCTAGTAACACGATTCTAGCTAGAGAAGCGAGCCTACTTAGTGAACATCAGCCCTATAAGGTGTGACCGCAGAGCTGGCTAGCATCGAGCTAGGTGACACTCTTATGGTGTGCAGCCATTTGACATGAGCGAAAGACGTAAATCAATAAGACTGGTCAATTGCTGCTACTACTGATGTTGATGCATTCGCTGAACCAGACCAAACGAAACGAATGCTCGCATCCGACGTCTGCGCCTTCATTTGCTATCCATTCAATCATCCAATCCTCACTGATTCATCAAATTGTCGTTATTCATTTTGCGGATTCATCCAAGCCAAATACATACATCTAAATATGAATGTAAATGGCTAAAAAAATTGTTACAAATGTAAATCTCTGTGTATGCATATGCGCTTGTTCCATTTGCACACATTGAATTCATTTATGCCGAACTGGATAGTATTCGTCTTTCTTGCTTTCCTTTGAAGCGTAACGATAAATTGGTTTCGCTTCACGTTTATTTTCCCAAGCTGTATTCACATATCCATTCAGAACTATGCGCTCCTCATTCACTCGTGTTTTTCTTTTCGTCATTTCTTTTCTCACTTGTGTAGTTGTTTGCTTGAACCTTCAGTTGTATTTGTTTCAGCATTTGTTCATGAGATTTTGGATTGGATTGCAGTCATTAGTTTTTATCAGTTGATACAGTTCCCGTTAGAGCTGTACTTACTTCTTTCTTACAATGTGGTGTTTACTCTAGGTCGAAAGTACGCAGTATTTGTTTCATAACTGTTTCATTTTGTCCGCTCTGTACACACAAAGAACAGATATAATGCGATTCAGAGCAATTCTTTCCATGTTTGAACATTCGATCAGTTGATGAAGAATTCAAATGTTATCGTGATTGTATCACTTATTGAGATGTTCTTTGATATTTGCTATTTTGCAATCTGATATATGGTTCATTTAGTGATTCTTTATCATTTTTGCTCTATGACGTACTGTATAATGTGATCTTATGAGTTGTCTAAAATCTACACATTCCCCAGAATTTTATGAGTTTCCTAGAATCTGCACACAACCTCTCATCCCGTTTATATATGCATATATATGTAAAATGTATATATGCATTTACGCTTTTTGTGTTTAGTATCGTTTAACATGAGCATTGTGACCAGCAACGTTACAAACGTTTGATAGCCTGGCCAATCCAGGTAATCCAGGTAATCGTTTAACATGTAACTTTTTCGAAAATGATTTGATGAAATTGGAATTGATTTGTTTGCAGTGGAGAGGACAATCAGCAGCTCGAAGTAATTCATCAGACGGTGAACGCCGCAAGCGATATCGAAAAGTTTGAGAGTCAGCGGTGAGTTTGGATTACTGTTTGACTGATGCAATATANTTTAAGGCGTCAGATTCAAGAAGCGTTGAATCAGCAAACCTATCATCAGTTCCGTGCATACGCCCAGCAGCAATTCGTGGGCGATCCAATTCAGGTAGTTTCACTGAATTTTTTAGCCTGAAAGTATCAGATTTTAACTCATTTGTTTGCAAAATTGGATGGCTAACTCTACGAGAATGTTGAAAGTTATGTTTTCGTAAGGAACCAATGATTTTGAAGTTGAGGCATATTCAACTGAAACATCAGCTCTTATACGACTTATTAGAAGTTCAAATATAATTCCCCTCACTTGTAAATTTTGGTATCTTCGCAACAAATGATTTTTTATTACACATATTCATTGTCAGTAAACAAAATCCCGTATTGGATATGCACACATATATTCGAAAAAACCCGTTCACAGCAAATAACAGCATGATTTCACCAATTTCGATTTATACATGTTAAAAAATCGCCGTGTAACATAGAATATTTTGTCGAGTCGAGCCATCAAGTCCACATTGTGCTCTGGCGATGCTATCGATTAGAATGAAATGAAGTGCCTAGATAGGTAAGCGGAGATTTTTTGGCATATTCCGAGGAATTTCAACGAAATCGGTTGATGAATTTTCATTTCAAGTTGACTTATCCCACTAATCCAAGCAAACCGTGCGATTCTGCCAAGTTTGGAGAATGTGGTCAAGAAAGATTCCCTGACTCAGTTTCTTTTCAGCTGAACTGATAGTGAATTATTTGTGGAGTGAAGCGAATTATTCCCTGACTCATGAATTATTTCATTTTGTCGCTTTCAAACGATCTCTTTGCATTTTCACTCACTAAACACTTCACCATTCGATTACTATCAATATTATTCATTACATTCTCTAGATATGCTCCAACTTATGAGCAATCTAAAGTGATGAAATCAAAAATGTACAATTGTACGAAATGTGCAATTGCTGTTTGAGCATTATATCACCGAATGATGGCAAAATTATCGTTGAGATTTACATTTGCTTCACAAATGAGACGACTGAAGACACATTTGAAGAATCAATATCGAAAGAATTCAATCGTGAAAGAATAAGGCATTATTGGAGCAGAACGCAATCAAAATTTTTCAGGAAGCTTGTTGGTAGTGTGAGGATTTCTTCGTCGATATATCTGAAAACGATCATTAAGCTTTTACGAAGTTTGCGATTTGAGAAATATTCCTCGCGTGAACAGTATCAAAAGTTGAGCAAAGCATTCTGTTTACCACAAATATAAATGGAACCAATTGCAAATAAATGATTGTACTTGTTATTTCATGCATAAAATACACTCATCTAGTGTATGCAAGCTGAAGTCTACGAGTAAATTCTTAGAATTACCGATAAGAGAATTGCAACTCTTCATTGGAGTATTACTCAGAACGTTGCTAATGGGAACGAAATCGCATGCATGTCTGCCTCATCGAGCATTGAATAATTACATGCAAACGCGACTGAATCGAAAAAGGCAGTCGTTGTTCACGTGCGGTCTTTACAAAGTCATTCATTTACTTATTGACTAACTCCCTAGGCGTCCGTCAGTATTCGTTTATTAATGGATGCCATGCCGAGAATGCAACATGTCGTGTATCGTCGTCCATCGTGCAAAGTGAATTTTTTGATTAGTTGGTCAACGTTATTAGATCGTCAACGCGTTTGTCAACTTTCTTCGATACACTCGTTTTGAATACGTATATTGTAAGCTGAAATGTGAAATGCGTAATGTTCAAATCGTAGTTGGTTAAAATGAACAACGTTTCATCAAATATGAAGAATGATTTTAAGCATTTAAACACGATTTTATTGAGGACATTTCAATTGAAGAAAAAACCTATTTGATATTCCAAAAACATGAATGACATAGGATTACCTTATTATAGCTATCATTAGGTTCGTTTCTACCATTTGTTTTGGTATCTTTTCCACCATTCGAGTTCAACAGCGCTTTCTTGCGTCGTTTCATCACAAGACCGTTGTGTAGCGATAGAATCGCCATATCATCAATATTTCGATTATGACTTACGTCGAGTTCACGCAATTTATCGATGTGTTTAAGCAACGCTAAGGCAGCGACTCCTTTACTGAAAAATTGATGGTTTGTAAATCTAATGAAAATTGATAGTTGAGAATGTCTTAATTATTGCTCTTATATGTTCCGAACATAGTAACTGTTCTGTGAACATTGTCATTAGTCAGTATTTGCGGATGGGTAGCGTTGTTACCCATGATCCTTGGATGTGGAATCCATCGTTTCTCTTGCCGGCCTTATGAGAGCAGATTTTCATTCGTTTAAGTACGTGAGAATCGTTGTTGACCTCACCTAGTTACTGCGCGACAGCCTTGTACGGCGATACTGTGAATGATATGTTTAGATGATGCCAGCGTATATAGTGTTTCATCTCCGATGTTCTCACAGTTTACTAGCGTTATCTGAAAGTGGATCTTTTCATGATGAGCCATTCAGTTGTTGAGGTTTTGAGTAAGAGTTGATTCATCTGGAATAATTGAGCATTGGAGAAAAGTGGAAATAAATAGAGATGAATGGGTGATAAAAAGGATGTGGAAAGCTTGCGTTTAGTGTACCTCACGAAGAGTGCAGTTTCGTAGCACGATGATAATGGATGCGTTCGTAACATTCACACAACTCTGTATTGTTAACGAACGAAGTTGTTGGTGCACAGCTATTGATGTCAGATCGTCGTCAGATATTTGTATTGTATTGGCGATTGTTAGCTGTTCAACGCGACGACAAAACGATAGACACGAATAGTCGAATATTTTTGCGCAGTTGATTATTGTTAGTGATCGCAAATTTTGCAGTTCTTCTAATATGACACGTAAATCGCGAGTGGTGAGTGCATTACAACACTGCAATTTGGACACTTTTCAGTGGGATTGTGTGATCGAGTGATCGATCTCATGATTGTTTTTTGCATTCATTCATTGATGATCTGTTAGTTAGCTAGTTCACTTTTTACCTAATTATATATTTATTTGTTCGTTCATATTCTATCAATGTTTAGCAGTATTTTTTGAAGAAATAATGCAAAAAAGAGATGCTTGTTAAACTGACTTGGAAGTGAAGTGATTGGAGTGAAACACACAAAGCAAGTGATAGCATAGGGAAGTCGTACGGTTCTTTTAGAACGTAACCAATTTGAAGATCTATGAGCCGAGGTAGATTACTGAGATATTCAAGTGTGAGAAGGTCTGCGACGGGTAGCGGGCATAGAGCCAGTTCCTTCAGATACGGATGTGTTTTGAGAAATTCATTGAAGGATTCCACAGGGAATTTGTGCGCTCCACTGAGTTCCAAAAATCTGAACATGAGGTGATATATTGGCTTCTTGAGAGATTTGATAGTACAGATATGTCTAAAATGAATGCAACAAAGAATTTCTGTGATTTAGGACATTTCATTCTCATGTTTCAAATTGCTTCCCTTCCATAATTAGCGATATCAATTTGCCAGTCATTTGGCTAGGGAAAGCAGTTGATAGTTTCAAGCACTTGTTTCTTGAGGTAATTTAGTTCACGGCTCTTTCGTTGCCACAAAAAGTGTCTATTATTAGCGACTCGAGAACAAAAAACCAACTCTAAGCATTCCGGCAATTCGTGGAGTTTATCCAAGTTGAACATCGCTCTTCTCAAGTTTATTTTGCGTAATTTTTTCATCCGATAAAAGTATTCTTGAACCTGAAATATTTCTTATATTGATTGCTGTTCCATATTTTCAAAAGTTTTAAGATGCGCTTCAACCTGTTCGATTTGTTGTTTTGAAATAACCTCAAGTAATGTAAAATAATTGGTGTGGTTGAGAAAACAAACTCCTCGTCTGCTATAAACAAAAAATATCTTTACAGTTTCAAAGTTTACTCATTCAAATGAAGCATCCATGAGTTCATGGTTCCTTAGGTGCATTCCTTTGCAATGATCAAGTAAACAGAGCTCAAAAGATGAGGTCGAAGAAACTGTGCTCTGCATTATTCATTGAATGAACGTAAAATTTATCCAATATGAAGTGAAATTTTTGCAGTGTTTATTTATTTTTTTATGTTCGGTTTGTGCTGTCATCTAAGAAATTGGTATTTCCACTTCATTCAGTGAATTTGACACGATCAAATGCAAGCAACTGTGCATTTGCTTCAAACAAAACAAACAAACAGTCAATGAGAGGAACCTTATTTCCGTCTTCATTTCTCACCCAGCTCGTCTCCTCGAGCGAAAAAATCTCGAGATTTTCGGCTGTTTTATCGAGAAGTGCCGATATGTCAGCGTTCATAATCACACAGCTGAGGTCAAGTTCGCGTAATCGATTGCAATAACTGGAATTAGTGTTGCGCCATGAGTGACAAGTGAAATGTTTGGATACTAAGTAAAAGATGCTACAAGCAAAATAACTTGTAAAAGTAGTAGTACAGCAGTTGTTGTTCGCTTCTCGTTTGTGTTGCTCATGGATCAGGATTTGGATTTGATCTCTGATCAGTTTAAAAGACTTCTGAGAATGTTCAATGAAGATTGATCAGATGATTCTTTGAGTGTGACTAATTTGTTTCATCGGTAATTTTTAATCTCACTTTCTTCATAGAAGTGAATAATCTGATTGCGAGTATGCTCAAGAAGGTGCCAGATCAACAATTCACTAACTAACACAGCAATTGTATCAACGATTGCTTGTGATATTTTTTGCCACCTCTGTCCAAAACTTATCCGATGCACATAACGTCCACATCGTTCTACGATACCGACCACGGTTGGTGCAAACAGCAGACTGTCCTCAAATATTTCAAATTAGTGAGCACTCAAATAAGATGTCTTCTAACGATGACATTTCCACCACAAACAATTTCTTTCCATATCAGACGTTGTACTTTCCATATCAGTGTACTTTGTAAAATTTTGCAACATATCTTAATTTATCCTAGCCGATCTTACTATTGGACAGTTCTGATTACGAATGATCGTAGGCTCATATTTCGCAGCAGATAACATTCGAAATTTGCCATCAGTCATTTCTGCTGATGTCAATTGAATATGCCATAATGAGGCATTTGTGAAGTATGCATATCTGCCGGAAATTATGTTCAGGATGTGTATATCGCGCACCTCAAACAATTCATAGGTTGATGTTCAATGAGGAAATTTGAAAAACTCAATGATATGTGTGGTGCGATCGTTTAGTGCGCATCTTACCTGTTGATAGCAATTGCCGGAGTTCGTTCCAAGAAAATCAGCGACATTCAATTCGGTTATATTCGAGTAACATGCGTTCATCTGAAAATTTCATTTCACTTGAGCTTAAAGCTATCTCGTGTTCCCATCGGCAATTTATGACCGCGAAAGTTATTGGTTTAAAGCCGAACTGATCATCTTTCGAACAAAATGTTTATTCGTTTAACAAAAATGGTGAAGTTTGGTGTTCTAATGCGAAGTTTGGTCTTTTGTAATTGTTCGTTTTTTTCGTCTTGGTCAATGGATGAGGCTGGGATGGGCGTCAGTTTTGAATTGAGTTGAAGTTTAGAAGAATAGCTCGATGAATGAGATGAAATTCGTTGATTGATTGTATTCAAAGAAAGGACTGATCAAAAAATTACCCTGAGTACGTTGAACCAACGGCAACAGACCCGTTCAAGGCGAACACGTTCAAAGAAAGCAAGATTTTGAAAGACTTGAATGAGGCAATCCGTATTGAGCACATCTGCAGTCATGATGAATCTGCAACTTCAACTGCTCCTAGTCTTTTTTTTTNTTTTTTTTTCATAGTTAGCTGAGATTGAATAGAAGGTTTCGTATGTTATCTTTGGTTTCACTATTTTTATCAGTTTGATTCTCGTCGTTTTATGATGCAACGACCATTCATTCAGCACTTGTGTCAATCAGACTCATCATAAATGCAGCCTATTATTGACAAAAAGTGGAAATGTTTAAAGCTTTATTGTTAAGTTTTCGCTGAAAACTTTTGCTAAATTCACTTAAAACTTTTCCTTTCGATTCTGTTACATTGAGTTTTCAGAAATGAATTCATACCAACATTTGTTCTGGGTTGATTAATCCTCTTTCACTTCAAAATGGTCACATAGCTATATGTATGCGCAGCGAATGAGTCAAAGTTAAATGCTCCTCATCATTTTAAACGGGGTATCGTTGAATCTTTATAGTTCAAGTTAAGGACACATGGGATAAAGCATATGTGTCCTTCCACTTGATGCTCGCTTTTCATTCGAATTAATTTGAAAGCAGAGCTTCAATTCATTAGCAGTTTCATTGTCTCTTGTGGTTTTCGAAATCGCAGGTAATGAACTAACTAATTTTCAATTCCTAATGAAAAGAAGAACATAAAAGAACTAAATCCTTTCGAATAATGACTATGGAAAGTTCTAATTAAGATTTTAAAGAAGCACTGGTTGAATATGGGAGGATCCAGTTTCAAAATTGGGTGAACAAAAAAATTTCCAGTCAATTGACGCACAATAAATTTTTCATCGTTTTGCTTTTTAAACTGTAATTTGTTCTTTTTTATTCGACGATTCGTGTTGTTTTGTGATTGGAAATCTGTGAAAGGTCATGGTCATTTCTCACAATCAGTTCTTTTTAGTGATAAGAAGCATTCTTCAGCTGTGATTTGTGTAAGTAAGTCAATTCTGGGTAGTCCGTACAAATAACTGAACGTTTCCATTTCATCTAATGTATCAGTCATCTCCGAATGTGCATAACTCATCAAATAACTTCAACGTTGATGTGATGACTGTTTTATTTGCATGATATCTTTGAGTGAAATTTTCAACTGATTCATTTCATCCTATCCTATATCTGAATATAACAAAAAACAATGATCTACAGCGAATTGTGATAAATGTGAGCACTTTGAATATTTATTTATCAAAAAACTACTTGAATATTTATCATTTATGATATTATTTCGCAACGACAAGTGAAAGATCAAGGTTACGGGTACGGAAAAGGGTTACTAGGCAATATGAAGAAGATGTATCTGTTATGTGTGACATTTAAAAGATTGAACAAACCTTTTTTCGACAACTTCGCCGGTCTGTTTCGAATATTTATTTCAGTCTCTGAACATTCGCTCTATTTAAAATCATACAAACGGTTTCGAAACGATGTATATAATGAATGGGCTTCAGGCTAATAAGTGAGCATGGAAATGATTTCACGAAATTGTGAGAAAAATTCCAGTGAGCAGTCGTTTTAGAATCGGCTAAATAACACTGGACGTGGAAGTATTCTAGAAATTTTAGCAATGATCAAAATAGATCAAAATTATTCATGTAAACATCGATCGTGTTAGTGATCGCTAGTTTCAAAGCAATTATTCGGACCAAGCTGAGTTGAAGTGAACGCTTGAATTCGTTGGAAATCAGCTGAGCGGAGAGCGCACATGACATACGCTTTGCATCAGCACTCAAGATAGCAATTCATCTTGAAGTCGAGATGTTGATTACTTTAAAGAAAATTGGATGTGAGGTCGGGATATAGATAAATATGATGAAATAAGAACGCTTTTTCGATCTAGGCAGACAATAGATGTTTTAAGTCAGAAACTGGACAGCAATGACAACAAAATATGTTACCAGTTATGAGATAACAAGCAATAATGTTTGAATAGGGACGAGCTGTAACAAAGAAAGGTGAGGAAATGAAATAGCCAAGATAAGCAATGTTCAGCTCGGAGCTCTCTTATATCTTATCCGATCTGATTGGGCAGATCAAGATTATGCCAGTGATCGATGATGTGCGTTCGCTGTGTTGTAATTGTTGTGATTTATATGTGATCGTGAGTTGTTTATGAGTGTATTCGACTTGAGGTGGTAATCTAATGTGTACCAGTTCGTGAACAGCTGAAAGAACGTCGTACTTTTCAGACAGCTTTGAAATGAACTTAACGCTTATTGCCGATCACCTAGAACTGCGAAACGAGTGCAAGAAACATTATTACATTTTGATTTAAACATTTCAGTCGAGTCAGCTGATNAGAAATTGCTACAACCATCGCTTTCAGTTCTTATGAATGAATCATTTGGAAGTTTATCAAATGTGCGGTAAAGTGAGTGGATAGAAAAGATGAAGATTAAGTTGGATTTGCTGAGTAAACGTTCCGAAAAGGCTCTCTTCCTCGCATGTTTCGAATGAAGAAGTAACTCGTGTTCATCGCAAGTAAACACAAATAGCTGTCTGTGGAAGGAGAGCTAGCTATGCGTTTCAGTTACAGCTCAGAAAATTCAAACATTCGAAAAAAATTGCAATCAAACACATTGTTCTGACTTTTAAAAAGTTCATTGTTATGTGATTAATTCAGTCAGATGATTGCCTACTGCCGCTGATGATTATTGATGTCCAAGCGCTGATATTTGACGTATAATTCGAGTAATGATCAAAATCCGAGAAAAAGTTGAACATTTGTTTGGTGTGCATTCCAGGAATGAAGAAGCGTAAATGAATGATGTGTACTTTCACGTATGATTGACTGCAAATGCAAATCATTCCACAAAGTGCAGCAGCAGTCTTTAATCCGAAAAACTCTTTGAAACAGCGTTTTTGAAGATGTTAGCAATTTCGCCGGTGGCAATTTTTCGTCAACATGTGAAACATTTATTCGTTTCAATGAGTATCTATCCATGATGGGATAAAACAGTTCCGAGGCAATTTAGAGTTCAGTCACAGCTTCAAATGTTCGTGCATTCAGTACGCGCGAAGGTTCTCTTATGAATGACAAATTCTTTATCAGGACAGTTCGTTGAAATATCAGTTTTTTGACATTAAAAACAGAGTTCATATGGGAAAAAGATGTATGTGAAGTAATTTTATCTGAAATAGCGTAATCATCTTCAAATTTCCGTACTGAAGACGTATTTTCCAAAGATGAGACTTCATTTACGAGAGAGGATCGAAAAATTCACGAAATTTCGTGTCTAGTTGTGAGTGAAGAATTTGTGAGGTAGAGACAATCTGCCTGCATTAATGCAAAGTGCATGATGACTAATGAATGAATGGTTTAATGTGAAGTATATAGAATTTGAGACGATCGGTTTGGAGTTTTGTTGATCTCGACTGAGTGATCAATTTCTTAAATTTATGTTTATTTCTGAAATCAAAGCAGTTGGCATCGAATGACCTTTGTATTTTTATTTGTGTTATTATTGCAAATTTGTGCATTTGAAATCATTTGAAAGATTCGATAAGTGTTGTATTTGAAAAATGATTATATAGATTAAGAGTTGAAATGCGATCATCGATATTCTTCGTTGATGAAATCCACTAACCTATCAACTCAAATATATTAATCGTTCTCAATTTTGTGCTTTCCAGTGAGCGCTTTCTTCATAATCCAAATGCGAAGCGTTTCATTCCTTCACAAACAGTACAGATCGAGACAAACGAAATTTGCATAGGTAGTTACTTCAGTCGAAAAAGATGAGAAATTTGTTATTTCCATATGCATCGGCTTTGGTTCCGCAAAAAACAATTATCTGCAAATATTTTTTCACTATAAAACAAGCCTTCAACTCTCGAAGGAGCCGTCAGAATCCATCATTCGAGAGCAGTTCATGTCATAAAATATCTGAGCAACTTACTGTCAAGTTTTAGGAATGGTTTTTCCCGGATGAGTCCGTCGTCTTTAATACGTTCCTTCATGTTACTTCTGATTCAGTTACTTCTCAGTTGAATCGTAGATCAGATTTTCCCAGCTGAATTCATATATTCCCACTTTGATTCGAAGAGGATGATTCGCTGATGTTTGGTTGTTACTACTGTTTGAGACGATGAAAAGTTACGCAATCGAATTCATTTTTTGATTGCGATATCATTGAAAAGTCATAACTGGTTATCTTTTTAATATGCGTTTTGTTTTCAGCAAGAAGCATTGATCAAGCAACTTCAAGAGCAACATTATCAGCAATACATGGCACAAGTGTACGCACAACAAACAAAAGTTGTTGGTGCATCTCCAGATGGTGATAAGATCGGTCAAACTGCTGCTGATAAGCTGGCTACAGATGGAGCCGAGACGACATCCGGAGTGATCCAGACGAATGAAGTGGATGACAATAAGAGGGATGATTCCGACGTTTCGGATGAGGAACCAGGCGATGATCTTCCCTGTTAGTTCTATTTTCTCTTGGTCGATCCACCAATTTCTTTCTCAGACATGTTTATTGCCTCTTTTTTTAATATGTCACAAGATTCAAAGTCAAAATGCATCTCATCTCACTATTACTTACATTCCTCATTCTAGAGGTAATTTACGTACTTTTTGCTGTCGTGTGCTGCGGTAGCTAGTTGGTTGCTGTACTTTGATGCAAACATTGTGATATCCGTATCGTCGTTATGATTATTCTGTTCTGTTATCATCACTCCGCATCACGCACATCACCTCTCACTTGATGCATGCACAGTAGATGAGCATCCCCATGTTCGTTCCCTTCTGTTTCGAAATTCCGAAAGATGCTGGATTCTTTCTGAATGATCTTGTGGCTGATTATTGGTGCGGTGGAACTCGTGAAGGTCATGCACGCAATGATCACGTTGTTTTTTTCACCGCTGGTATTTTTTACCGCCATAATCCTACAGTTCCGTAATTTCTGGAGCGCCATTATTCTGTCGCTGAAGTCGTTTCAGAAATTATCATTTACTTCTGATTTTGCAGGAATCGCTCTTCTTAATTGCGGAATTTTCTGTTCACTTAACTAAATGTGATCTTATGTTTGAGACAATATTTCACAGCAGTCGCGTAATTTTGTCAAAGAATCGCTCTCTCGCCATGGAGTTTATTTATGAATGTCTATCAGAAGCATGTATATACCATGTTCGATTTGGCTGTGCGCAGATATACCCATGCAAATGCGGGTGTCTGAATGAAATTTACGTGTCAGAAATTGGTGAAATTTACGAATTTACTTTGTTTTCAGTAGGATATCACAGTGACGCTTTGTATTCTCTTTTCTTTTTCTTACTCGTTTATGAATGAGCTACTACCTTCTAAAAGTGTCTTTGGAGAATTTTTTAAAATTCGCTAACTTCCGTTTGTCTCGGAATAGCCGAAAGCTACCCACTTTCGTTTACTATTATCAAACAAGTTGGTTTATATTAATAATAAGCACATTTTTATGAGACTAATTCAACTGTAATTAACTGATGCTGATAAAGGAGCAGAAGTTACAAAGAAATGCGTGATAATTAATGGGTAAACAATTTTCAAACGCTCATCCACACTTGTTCATCAGAAAACCTTTTAGTGAGAATTTAAGCCAATGAAAATATGCATGCAAAATATTCATTCCATTGGAACGACTCATTTCAAGGTTCTGCACAAACGAAGTGATAATCAGAGTGAGATATGGCGATGGACTACAATCGGGCTTAAGATTCGGTTGAGGCTCATACTGAAGCTGAGGTACCTATCAATTGAACAGACTGTTCTGTCTGATGAGATTAGGTATCTGAAACAAGGCGTCACTGTGACAAACAAACAAACGGTACTTTGGTATGAGCACAAACGCATAAGACCATATATAATCCGTCGCCACATTTCGCGAAATGCGGCAAATTTTCGAATGATTGGAATTCTTTCGAACAATTGATATCACATTGAAATCGAAGTCATTGGGAAGATGCATTCGTCATGCTAAAAGTGTATGTACAGGCGTATAAAAATGTTTATATGTAATGTTGACATGAACATTACTGCTATGGGTAATTAGAATTAAGTGGAACGCATGCATTGTCTTTGTATCATATAATGAATGTTTGTTGGAGTAAATTACGAGAAGAGTTCATCATTTGTTTATATTTGATTTCAGCGAATCCAGCCATTGCTCCTGCGTCGATGTGGAATCGTCAGGATATCGTCGAATTCAAGAACGCGATTCGTAAAGAAGGCGCTGAAGGGATCATCAAAGTTGGTCACGGTGAAACTGTAACGGTANGTACGCAATGTTTGGTTTTGAAAGCGCGAGAAATTAAGAATTTGATCTATTTCTCGCGAGAAAATTTCCTTCCATGAATGTTTCCGATGTGTTTTTGTTTACAATATTTGCAGTGTTTTGTTTTAGGTACGTGTACCGACTCACGAAGAAGGGACGTGTCTGTTTTGGGAATTCGCCACAGACTATTACGATATTGGTTTTGGTGTTCTTTTCGAGTGGACTATTGCTGAATCGAATCAGGTGCGAATGCATTCAAGAATCGTGTTTATCCTCTTCGAATGAACAATAAGATGCCTTTCAATTGCCGTTGAATGCTCCAAAGTTCCACCACTCATGTCAGCATCAGAAATACATAATTGCAAATATCTTGAAGTAGACTGGTGTGATATCATTCGAAAACCAGTTGACGAAGACGATGCTTCTCTACGATTGTTTAATAGACTGTTGAAGTGAGAGGATTGCGTATTATGTTTCAGGTATCTGTACATATATCGGAATCGTCAGATGAAGAAGCTGATGAAGAGTTGACCCAAGCTGAATTAAGGGCAAGTGGCACTGGTGATGTGGAGAGTGGAAGTCTAACAAAAGAAAAACAACGAGATCCGAATAAACCGCACATCGATGAAATTGTACCTGTTTATCGACGTGATTGTCACGAAGAGGTATGCCAGCTGGTCTCTTTTTGTATTGCTCTTGCTGTAAGGTGGAACGATCCGAATAAATGAGTGACTTCTAATGATTTATCAACTCATTGAATGAAATCTGTTCATTCACCTGATTGTGAGTATTCTTTTCAGGTTTATGCAGGTAGTCATGTATATCCAGGTCGAGGTGTTTATCTTCTCAAATTCGACAATTCTTATTCATTATGGCGTTCAAAGACTCTCTACTACAGAGTTTACTACAGTAAATAATTGGTGTTTTGGTTGGTTTTTTAAAATCGCTTTTCATCGTTTGCTCATTTTTATCAATTTCATGTCAATTACACAACTTACAAATTCGAATTCAGCACAGAAAAATTTCAGTTCTTAGAATCCACTTCTNTTGAACTGATTTGTTTTTATCGAAAATTTCTGGACTGATCCAAACAGTTCACTTTTTTCCGTTATGTCACTTTCCATGATAAGATGTCCAGAATATTGATTAATCATTTGTTTTTTAACGTTGATTTAACAATTTTGATGTCGTCAACGTTATTTTTCATTATCTATCGGATTGTTTTAGATCGGTCAGTGAAAAGGGTTCATTCGATAGAATATTGAAACGAAAATGGAAGTATGGATGAACTAATCAGTTAATTTATTTCTCGAAATTATCGAATGTCTTGTTGTGTTGGTTGGGTAATAAGCATCCGTGCGAAAATGTGTTGTTGTATTACCGAAAGTTGTTAAAAACTATTTATTCATTTATTTACTTTATCATTCATAATCTTTGGTTGTTTTTGGTTTGGTTTTTATTTGGTGTGAATAAATTTTTCGATTGTCTAAATGCAATAAAGATAACGACAGTGCGCAATGTGAAATATAATTTTGTTTCGTTGAAGATGGTCGGTTTGAGGCATTTGAATGTATTCAATTGGTTGTGTTAGTGGAAGTTTTGTTGTTGTTGCTGGTTGATTCTTTGACTGATCACTGAATTTACGACGATGAGAAATTATTCTTTCAGCAAGAACGTTTGAAATTTTTTTTTCGTCATCGGTGAAGTAAGCCAAATTTGGTTAGGGAATTGTCCCAGTTAATTATTTCTTGACGAAACTACTCTCAAGTTTTCCAGTGTGCGAAAGTCGAAAAATTTGGAACTACGTATACCAGCTTCTGCCCCTTCAAGCAGAGTTTCTTTTGAATTCATTTCTGTTATGAAAATTATTGTGTAATCGACTGTCTTCAATGTTGGAACAGTTTATTTTTAGTTGAAGTGAATTGTTGTGATAAGCGATGATGATTTTTCTGTGTGATGTTCGTCTCATAAAATGTCTTTGTTCGGTGTTTTTGTTTGAGAAGAAAGCAGTTATAATGGCCATTCATGATAATATTCTATTACGAATTAACGATCTGTTTATTGTTGATTCTTATACTCTCATAATCAATGAGTTTCTTTTTAATTCATTTGTTGTTGTTCGATTTGGATGAGCAGTTCGTATCATTATCATTGGATATAGAATTGAATTTACTATTTTTTATTTCTTTTTTTTTCTCTCAATTTCAAATCCGTTTTATTTTATTGTGATTTTTGTTAAATGATACTTTTATGAAAGAATTCAAATAAATAAACTACTTCTTCTGTCATGCTTGCGTTTCGCATGAATTCAGGGCAGAGGGAGAGCATTGAAAGAAGTCACAACTGGCTAGTAACACCTTCGAGTTAGTAGTGAGTGGGTGAGCGTTATCGTTTAGTTGAGCGTTGTTCGAAACGAACTGAACAAATTGAGAGTTTACGAATGATGCTCTATGTAAGATTTTGATGATTTTGGTTTACGAAGTATGCTTTATACAAGACTGCGATGATGTTGGTTTCGTGTACACAGAAAGTTGCATTTTAAGCTGACAGTAAACATTTAGCAGGCATAATACATCTGTGAGACTTCGGGCAATCAGTTGATTCGAGAGAATCTGAGATAACATCAGCATTTTATATCAGTTTTTGCACGATGCACATGGCTTTTAATGTGTTACGAATGAGAAATAGATGTCATCAACGATCAGGTGGTACGTTTTAGGTGAATGCTTGGCGAATGACTAGAGCGTGATATGGTATGAAATGTTTTTTTATCGTTTAACTTTAACAACTTGGCGTAACTTGCTATGAGTTTGGAATAGGAAATTCGGAGATCTAAATATGTCAACGCTTCGCCGAGCACATCATATGTCTACGGTAGTGAAGTTGACCAATATGTTCATAAAACATGAAGCACTCAACGTTGTCTCAAACGGAAACACGAATTAGTTATGCATTCATATGTATAATGCATTTTAGTATCGCCGTTTGACATTCAGTTCAGTTTTCTGATAAGTAATCGTAATCATAAGTTCGTCAACTAAATCAAATCGATTTCATATATTTGACTCCACTGGAAGATCTGCATAAGTGAGCGTTAATCAACATATATTCCTACTGTGTTGTGTCAGAAGTATTTACGTGATTTTATGAGGTTCGAATGAAAAAATGAGCAAGAAAATTCTTTGGAAATGTTCACTGACTAATACCATACTTGAGGTACTGAAAAATCGTGAAGGATGGGCGCAAACCAGGCAAGTTTGCATGCATATGAATTTTTTTTTTCACATATGCATCCAATTGAACCATTCGATATGCTGTAATGATGCTGAAATGAACTGTGAGAAGTATCAGTTGAATGAACTATCAGTTGTTCCGTTGATGAGTTTTGTTGCAGTGGCGACGACTGGACATTTTTTTGGGTGACACGTGAATGGATGAATAATACGTTTGATAAGTTCAAATTTCGCGATCAACAACAACTGATCTGTCATTTTCGAAATGACTGCGAGTTGACTCGTAAAGATATGCTCATCAAAAACTTCAAAAAAGCCAAAAGAATACTCGAGAAAAGCAATCCAACCGATGCAGCTAGGTGAATTCCCCAGAACATTGTTCAATTCGTTTTGTTTCTCACACTCTTTTAAATTAGTGAGAGTAAGCATCGAAAGAGAAATTAAATTGCTCAGATGAGTGCCGAATCGAATAGAATAGCCAAGTAAGCGGTGATCAAAATGAGCAAGTTGGGCACATCAAATTTGTCATTTTCACAACATCTAGATTTATAAGCATTTCATTTTGGAATAGCATTGCTTCATTTCAGTCAGCAATACGGCATAAATTGCATTCTTTCTTGTCTGATGAAATCATCGTTGAAAGTAAAAATTAACAAATGTTGTAGTGAAAATATGTTCATATTGCAGGATGCGATACATTCCGGCCAGTTACGTTCTCCCGGTAAGACAACTGCGAATGAATATCTGAATTTCAGATTTAAGTTCATCAGCCTAGTTTTTTTGCACGATGCCATCCACAAAATCATTCTGTTGTTGTGGTCAGATTCGGCGTTCTTTACGCCGAGAATCATAACCTCAGAATTTGCAACGGTGATACTATAGTAGTTTACTGTTCGGTTTCAAGCCTTGTGAAGTAAATTTTTTACTTCAAACTAGAATTACTAGTGTGAAGTAAAAAATATCATCTGATCTGAATAAACTAGCGCTGAGGTACATCTGAAAATTCAAGAAATACATAACCTTTAGTCACCCTGCTCTCTCATTGAAGAATTCATTGAATAGAAAATATATTTGCAAGATTAAGCCACTACAAACGAAAATTTCCGTCTGGTATATTTGATGTATTTGATCTGTTCAGATGGAATATCATCTGTTTGTTGAAGAGTTTAAAAAGTATCCAGCAGATACGACTTGGATAATGAAGCCAATCGCCGGCGCTCAGGGCAAAGGAATATTCTTGTTTCGAAAACTGAAAGACATCACCGAATGGAAGAAGGTTTCTCTCATTTGGAAGCGTTGCTGAAGAAACCCTTAGCAATTTTGCACCTCATTTGCACAACTATCAGCTTACAGGGCAACACTGCCAATGAAGCACAACCTTATGTGGTACAATGCTATATTAGTAGACCGTATCTTATTGCGTCGAAGAAATTCGATATTCGAATCTATGTGCTTGTCACATCAGTAAGTGCAATTTGATACTTCGAAAATGAATTTGCCATATTCATAGAACATGTAATATCTCAACGAAGCATTCACTACACTGTGAAAAATACTCCTCCATTTTATGATGAATCTCCGTGCCGCCAGAATTCAGCTCCATTTTCAGTTCCGACCGCTGCAAGCATGGTTACATCGTGAAGGATTTGCACGCTTCTCACATTCACGCTACTCGATGACCTCTGTTGAAGATGCTTGTAGAGAAGTTATCTCTCTTGGTTAATGTGAACTTGATATGAAACGTGGCTGATAATGAGTTCTTTGGATAACTGTCGAATTGGAAGTGCAATTTTGTTTCTTAAATCAGTGAACATGTGCGATGATGGTTTAAGAAAGCTAGCTCTGAAGTTCAAGCTCCAAGATTATTCGACGGTTATAGCATCAATTCGTTTCGCTTGTAGATGTGCATCTGACGAATGTCGCTGTAGCAAAAACTGCACCAGACTATGATCCCGAGCGAGGTCTCAAGTGGAATGTCTTCAAACTCAGACGTTATCTGACAGCAGTGCATGGAATCAACGCTGTTTGTGTTCTCACTTGGATTCGTTTCCTTCGTATAAACTATTTGTTGAAATCGAATTTTGAGATTTTATTAAATTGTCCTCTTAATCACTCGCCGTTCAATCAATATGTTGCTCGAATAAAAAGTTTCTCATTCTCATGATACGAATGTCAACATCAGCTACATCCTGATTTCAACTTGCGTCAAGTCAGAATACTGTAATAGGCCCGCATTCAATCGACGAGTGACCCCTACAAAGTATTGATCCATGACGATTTTCAGATCGAAAGGTTGATGGACGAACTTGGCTGGGTAATTATCTCGAGTCTGCGTTCAGTGCAACATCTTGTCATCCAGGTTTTCTCATTTTGCTATTCTACCAAAACATTTTGGGGCATTTCAGTGACATTTTAAGAACTCATAATCAAATATGTTTCACAAATGTTCATACTATGGCAAAAAAGAAAATGTAAGTGGTGATCATCATGAATTATTTCAGGATCCGCACTGTTTTGAACTGTATGGGTATGATATTCTTCTCGATGATGAGCTCAAACCTTGGCTTCTTGAGGTTAATTCTCAGCATGTTTCAGTTCCATTATTCATATCATAACAAACTAATCATTCTATTCATTATGCTTAAGTCAGCTGTTTTTCATGATCTTACGTTCTGAATTTTATTTCAAGAACGAATAAATTTCATCGTTTTAAACTGACGCAGACTATAAGAACGTTTGACTGTTGATTTTACAAAATATCCATCGATAAACGAACACTATTCATTCTATAGAGATCAAACAAAATTTCTTCACAATGAAACGACCCCAAGTGCCACCTTATAGGGAATTAGCGCATTGTTACTGTAGTTGTTTAGACCAGTTTCTCATTCAACTTTATTCTCTATTTCACATAATTCAATCGTTACTCATCCGCATTCAACAACAATTAGAGAGCAAAGTTTTTTTTGAGCGGAAGTAATAATCAGCCGAACAGAGCACATTCATCACCNAAATGATGCATGGAGCAATCTCCTTACACGGAAAATTAGTAAACAATCAAAAATCTCAGTCAAAACATAACTGATTACTTGACATCTTTCATCGTGACTTCTTTTCATCACCCTTTATCTTTTTATGAAGATTATAGAATATAGAATGTAATGAGAAGTTTTATCGAGCAGTTTGTAACGTTGGGAGGGATTCAGCATGACAAACACATACATTTCAGTCTGGTCATGTCAAATTACACACGGAGCAAGACTCCGGTATCTACTTATGTTTACATTTAGACCCATAAAAGACTCAAACACACTCGTACGTACTGTTGCGACTATAACGAGATTTTCACAAACTAATATTTCGAATTCTTTCAATGCTGAATGGTTATCTCATAATTTTTGGCTTTCATTTATTCATTTCTTGTCGTAAACTTACCACTAAATCCACAATGGTAATTCAACCCTATGCTCGTTCCTAGTATCTTCAACAGAGACCGAAAACGACCTTTGAATGNACACACGGAGTAAGACTCTGGTATCTACTTATGCTTACATTTAGACACTAAATCCACAATGGTAATTCAACCCTATGCTCGTTCCTAGTATCTTCAACAGAGACCGAAAACGACCTTTGAATGAGCGATGGACAACAATGATCACCACTTGACTCATCGTGACCGTTCGGCTTTATCTGAATCGCATTAGATTATGATAATCCTCTTTTGCCGATGGGATATTCGCTGCGTGAGGGCAGATGCATGTTGCAAGTTGCGCGTTACTGTTCCTTTATAGAATGACCGTAAACGAAGTTTTACTTTTGATCCTACGTCAGTTTCATTCTCTCAAATAGATATGGATAAATGATTCTTGGACAATTAGAATTCATAGACAAATGAATATCGAGTGGGTCAGACACAGTAAAACAACGGTGAAATGAATAACAAAAGAAGATATCTATAAATTTGATTGAAGAAGGGATGAAATAAATGTGACCACTGCTGTGCGCTGTTATTCGATTACGATACAAATAAGTGTCAGTTTACGGCACTCACATTTGGGATATGCTAATTAATAGGCAATTAGAATGTTTGTTGTTTGCCGATTCAGAAATCAACAATCAGCTGTGCACTTGATACATTCGTTTTTGTTTAGGTGAACGCAAGTCCATCGCTGACAGCCTCAAGTCAGGAGGATTTCGAGATGAAATATCGCATCCTATCGCATATGCTGGACGTGCTGGATCTAGAGAAGCGGTACGATCAACACTCCACTTTCACGTTTCTGTGAAGTTGTCTTGAATTGAAACTGAGATCCCGTTTCTGAAGAATGCGCATTTTTGAAGAGAACCATTTCTGTGTTATGAGTAATTTCTTTCGGTGGCACAATATCGTTGCAATTTAGTCACAGAGCTGCTGCGTTCAGATTAGCGAATGATTACAGATTAACAGGGAGCGAGGTGACAGTTGGTGGATTTGATCTGTTGATCCGTAACAACGAACCACTCGAAATACCACCTTCCGCAAGTCGGACACACCGTTCCAGCTCGTTCTTCATTCCAACACTTAACGTACGATTAGGTATTCATAACAAATACATTTATGGGCAATTTTCAATCGTTGTGTTGAAATTTTATTTAGTTTGTCCGAGTTTCGTCAGTCTAACGAAACAAACACTAAACTGATCCACAGTGATCAACAATTGACCTAACCACATCGTCTATTCAAATCAACAATCAACTGCAATGATTCGCGTTTCAATTATTTCTCGATGATGGGAGCTGTGGAAAGTTTGAGAATTCAAGAAACCTTTGGGATCATTTTCATGACTGCAAAGATGTTCGCGTTTACTTAATCTTGAACTCGAAAAATAAGTAATCGCTCATCGATGGAACAGTAACTGCTCCATTTTACGAGCTTAAATATGTCACTGAAAACATTTTCAGGATACTACGTTCCGCCCATACCCGTTCCTTGAAGTACTTGTACCAAACGATCGTTTAATCACCCAATGCGCTATCGCATAGACTTTCTGATCCATATTTTATCTCCGATTAAATTTTATGCGTTTTTAGCTTAGTTTCATTGTTGTCATCGCATAACTGTCTCTCGCCTTTGTTATTTTGATCCAAGATGTTCTTCTGAACTGATTTCATTTACAGTACTAACAATCTTAATCCATAGCAAAAGCAGTATTGCGGAAATTACACTTTCTGTGGCTTCAGAAGGTATCTGATCGTATTGCTCGGCTTTGCATAAATCCACAGATTTTTCGAGACGAGTACTTTCTGAGTTTATCACATCGTCGTTTATGTTTCTGTAATCATTATTACATGAATCTAAGCGTTTTTAGAAATTTGAAGTGAGTGTTGTAATTGTGCTTGTTGACTCCATTTGGTTCAATGGACACACAGTTCAACAAGTAATTGGTTCTCATCTCTTAAAAATGATAAATCCGTGTGATTGAATGTGTGCAAGCAAGTCAATCAATTGTTCAAAGAGAACTCTCATAAGAACAACTCTCATCGGTGATACAAATCATAAGAAGATTTTCTAATGTGTATAAAACTCTCAAAAAGTCACAACAGAACACACCGAGCGACACAATTTCACCCGATGAATAATCTACTCTCAGCATTCACGAGTGGTAATCTTTACAAAGCGCTCATTGGAACTTTCAAAAGAAAATTGTTGCCGATGAAATTGTGTCAATGAGTTAACAGCAGCCTTTTCACGAATGCAATTTTGCTCTCATTCGCCATCATATTTAGTCACATTTGTTTGTTACGGATCCACAAAAATCTACAAATATTTGTGTGGTTATAAATTCATTCCCGTAAAGGCTTGAACATACAGTTATAATACATATGATGCACCTTTTCATGGAATTGTTTGCGAATTGTACGCAAGTGAAAACAACTGTCGTCGATATTAATGCACTGTGTGCGGATAAAAGGGAAATGAATCGAAAATTCTGTTATTGAGAAATTATTGAGAAATGAACGAATGACAATTCAAATTTGAAAAGAAGCAGTGCATTAATATCGACGAGAATTGTTCTCACTTGAGACTTATCACATAAATGAAAGATCAGAAATAAATTGTTTAGTTGATTATTTTGCCCTTTAATGTAGAATTTTATTTTGCTGTTGGTCCTCATTTTGGATGCATTCACTGTTTGATATCCTTCACAACAGTTTTTATCGTTTCGCATTCATCCTTGCTCATCGTGTAACCTGTAATTTGAATCTCATGCATCTGCATCTAATAAATACCTTCACAGCAAATATGACGAAATGATGCATTCAAACTCGCTTTTATCTGCTCCATTGTCAAGTCCACTTCAGTGAACGGAAACTGCTGATGTCATAAGAACGAAATTTGGATGTTGATTAATTAGAGGATGTGCTCATTATAAGAGCGAAATAACAATGATGAGGGAGAATTTGAAGTGACAAGCTGTCAAAATCGATGTTTTATGAGTTGATTAGGGTATAGGTTCTGTCATAGCAGAGGCGAGGTATTTTAATTGGGTATTTGGTGGGATATACTTAAAGACGTACATACACTTCTAAATATGGTGGTGTATGCGTGCATCGAATCGAGCGAGTGGATGGGAAAAGAAAACGATCCTGCTCAAGGCCATAAAATCGTGCTCGATTATTCATTGCTGTTGCTTACTGAGAAAATTACTCGATAATGTGGATGGCCGTACAATAATAAGTCATAATTTGATGTTTTACTACTTCCGTTGCGTGCACTCGCTCTGAATTGTAATCAATCAGATAATAGGCTGGAATCTTTATGTCATCATTGCCACAGCTGTAACGACAACTGCTATCTTCATCATTGCCTAGTTTCATCCGTTCGGTTTCATCTTTACCCCGGTCAATTACAACAAGAAGACCAGCCCTTTTTGTGCTTACGAGACATGTGATGCATCTGGAGCGATGCTCATCATCAGCAGTGATATGACATCTCCAAGATGAAATTTAAAATTTTAAGCGATGTTGACGCCTTAATCAAAGAACTTCAACGAAAACGTATGCTTGGATGAAGAAATTTTTTGTGGTGCAGTAAATTTTGAAGACAAAGGCGTTGTTTGAAAAGCTTCTAAGAAACCGTAGTGATTAAGGAGATTCTCTTTGAAGCCGTATTCTTAGATTACTTCGAAATTATGGCTGTTTGTCGTTAATGAGAAACATCTGCCATGCACGTAATTGTTTGTGGCTTGCATCTGTTTTCAATGACATTCAGACAGATTGGAGTCGTTCAAAATGTGAATAATATTAACTCAGAAACGCTGTTAATGATGAGATGCTCTGTTATTGTGAATGCATGATCAATGGCACTCAATGACCGAGTCAACACTTATGCGCTGATGTTGCTTTGTTTAGCGCAAATAAGTCCGATCAAACGAGTCCAAATAAGTGCAAAAAAACCAAAAGTTCTAATTTTCTTTTTAGGCTAGCGTCCTAAAAGGAAAGCAGATCTTATTAAGAAGTTGATGCAAATGGAATCTCGGTGAATCCTTCTGCTCCTTGCATTTCTGGACGAGAACTTTCTGATTGTGAGTACTTGCTGAGCATTTGAACAATACTTGGCTTTGACACACAAGTCTTACATAATTCATTAAACGACGCTCACCCTTTCCAAATCAAAAAAAAACACTCAGCAGGGAAAGTTAAGATACGATTCAGTTAATCGTCCATCTAGAATACCGATCATTATCGCTTCAGTGTTTTCATTTCCATCACACATTCACTAAACTGACGCATATCATTCATGAGAATTGCACGTTTTATAAACTGTTCCAAAATAGTGTTTAACATATTGAGCATTACTTTGAATCAACTGGTGATTTAATGTCGATGAGAGTTGGGACAAAATTGAAATATAACTGGTTTCGTGATAATTTGGATCATTTGTGTAGATTTATGCTGTGATTCATGGTGATAGATTGAAGATGAATTATTTGGTTGGAACAATTGAGATTATACGAGGATTTTGGGGTTTGCATGAGATTTATGAATAGCGGATATCATTTGTTTCTGCATTTGGTGTACTCTTGTATGTGATGACTACCGTTGTTGATACGTGCAATCGATTATGATGAGTCACTAAATCATTTAAACACTGAGGTAACAGTCGTTCGCAATCATAATGAGCATCTAACAATGCATGATGCTCATAATAATAGTTCATTTACTAGTAATCAATGATAATAATAAACGACAATAATAACTGTAATGGCATTGATCATGCATTGTAAAATGAACGGTGAGATTTCGATCATCGCCGAATGATATACAACGGATTTGTGTACGTTCATGAATGTTGTATGAAACACGCCTGCCTCAATTTAGCATTCGTCATTCCCTTACTAATCTCCATATTCAATAACTCATCATTTCATTTTATTCCTCCCACCACATAACCTCTATTTTCATGACCAACCACTTCCATAGCAAAATTTAGGTGCACGTAATCTATGTTAACGTTCATTCACATCCTGAAGAGTGGCTCTCCATTTGTAGAATCTCATGCCCTTTTGCCATGTGGTAGGTGCTGAGCTGTGCGATCTAGTGACTTATGATCTTATCACATATGATCGCTGATCACCTGCTCTGCTCGCTTATGGCTTAATTATTGTATGACATTTGAAGATTGGTGGAAACTATTAATCGGCATATTTCATATTTCACATGGTTATATGAATTACGTTATCGCAAAATTAAATGACTTAAGTTCATAAGATGTTTGTCCCTTCTGCCGTTGTTATTTTTGACACATCAACTGTTGCCAACTTCAAGATCAGGATTGCACTGATCCGTTGAAATTTATGGACGGACCTAATGAAATGAATTACAGTTCAAAATTAGAACCGCTATGCTCTGTCAAATGCTGAAGGAATGAATTAACTTTAGTGTTTGTACCGGTTTGACTTTACTTTCACTGTGGAACAATTTCAAAACAGTTGAGTGTTTTTGACCAAAACGTTTCATCATATATTATCTTATTATGGTGAAACTGTGTGAGATATTTGCCGATATCATATAAGAGTTCGGTCACATGTAGACGATTCATGGATGAAGATTAGTTCGAGCTGAATTTTCTGTAGTTCAATCTCTCATTTTTGCAATGTTAAAATTATCGTCGTCGCAGCCCATCAACGCTCGACTGCATGAAATCATTCGCTTAATTTCGCATAATACCAATTTCAGTCATGTCGTGATTGTGAATTGACAGTTGCAGACATTTTGCTATACTGAATAAACATTCTTACACATTGCTTTGTACTACCAAGAATTTTACGAGCCATGATCGCTTTGCTTACCAATTATATGTTGCTCTTTGACATGTAAACATAGTTTCATTGGTGCACCTTGAAGGAATATTTTGCAAAGTATGAACCGCTTCAGTCGATTACATCGAGCTTGTGTTTGATATCTTAGAACAGAATGTTTAGAATGTTCTTTTAGTATGTACACTTTTTGAACATTCCATTCTTGAGTTAAAATTATATTTGTTAAAATAACTTTTTTTCTTGATTGATTTCCTCCTAATTTTCACCTTCAGAAATTCAAGAACGGATATGCCCGTTATTCTCAGTCTTCATTGCGACTGTCGCCGCCTACAGTTCCTTACTTTAGTCGCTTATTTGCTCAAATTGTTTAATTACGAGTAAGGAAGTTTTCGTTTCCATTTATTACGAGTAAATAAGTGAATTCGCTGAAATGATTTCATTCGTCTTTTACAGGTTTCATAAGAATATTCATACAGTAATGCTTTCAATGCTGTGTAAGGTTTTTAATAAATCCACTGATACTATTTGGATTTTTCCGAAAAGTTCGCCAATTATCAGGCGCAACCGTTACGGAGAAATTCGTCTTATTTCTTTTCGGGCAGAAATTTCAACCAATGAATAAAATTCAGCTCAGTTTGATCACTGATTCATATTCTTCATATGATCTGATT